GCTGCATGTATGTCTTGAGAAGTGTCTCTTCATGTCTTTTATTTACTTTTAATGTTTTTTGTTCTTGTAAATTTGTTTAAATTCCTCATAGACTCTGGATATTAGACCTTGGTCAGATGGATAGATTGTAAAATTTTCTCCCATTCCTTAGGTTGTCTTTTGACTCTGATGATAGTTTCTTTTGCTGTGCAGAGGCTCTTTAGCCTCGTTGGATCCCATTTGTCAATTTTTGCTTTCATTGCAACTGCTTTTTGACATTTTTGTCATGAAGTCTTTGCCCTTGTCCATGTCTTCAATGATATTGCCTAGATTTTCATCTAGGGCTTTTATAGTTTTGGGGTTTACATTTAAGTCTTTAATCCATCTTGATTTAATTTTTGTATAAGGTGTAAGGAAAGGGTCCAGTTTCAGTTTTCTGCATATGGCTAGCCAGTTCACCCAGCACCATTTATTAAATAGGGAATCCTTTCCCCATTGCTTGTTTTTGTCATGTTTGTTCAAGATCAATTGGCCGTAGGTGTGTGGTCTGATTTCTGAGTTCTCTATTCTGTTCTAATTGGTCTATGTGTCTGTTTTTGTATCAGTACCATGCTGTTTTGGTTACTGTAGCCTTGTAGTATAGTTTGAAGTTGGGTAGCATGGTACCTCCAACTTTGTTCTTTTTGCTTAGGATTGTCTTGGTTATTTGGGATGTTTTTTGGTTCCTTATGAATTTTTAAATAGTTCATTCTAGTTTTGTGAAGAATGTCAGTGATAGTTTAATGGGAATAGCACTGAATCTATAAATTATTTTGGGCAGTATAGCCACTTTCATGCTATTGATTCTTCCTATTCATGAACATGGAATGTTTTTCCATTTGTTTGTGTCCTCTTTGATTTTCTTTAACAATGGCTTGTATTCCTCTTTCCTTCACTTCTCTCCTTAGCTGTATTCCTGGGTATTTTATTCTCTTTGTAACAATTGTGAATGGGAATTCATTCATGATTTGGCTCTCTGCTTGCCTGTTGTTGGTGTAAAGGAATGCTGTTGATTTTTGCACATTAATTTTGTATTCTGAGGCTTAGCTGAAGTTGCTTATCAGCTTTGGAAGCTTTTGGGCTGAGATGATGGGTTTTGATCCCCAAGATATGGGACCATGTCATCTGCAAACAAAGACAATTTGACTTCCTCTCTTCCTATTTGAATATCCTTTACTTCTTTCTCTTGCCTGATTGCCCTGGCCTGAACTTCCAATACTATGTTGAATTAATGATTCAACATATGATTAAAAGTTCAAAGTGAAACAATGATAATTCAGATAGGAAGATATGTGGCAGTATGTCAAAGCCTAAAAAAGGAATATAGAACTTCTATGAAATATCTAACATAGTCAGATTTATAGAGACAGAGAATAAAATGGAAGTGGTGAGAGAGAGTATCCTTGTCTTACACTGGTTTTCAATGGGAATGCCTCCAGCTTTTGCCCATTCAGTATGATATTGGCTGTGGGTTTGTCATAGATGGCTGTTACTATTTTGAGGTATGTTCCTTCAGTACCTAGTTTATTGAGAGTTTTTAACATGAAGGGATGTTGAATTTTATCGAAAGCCTTTTCTGTGTTTATTGAGATAGCCATGGTTTTTGTCTTCAGTTCTGTTTATGTGATGAATCACATTTATTGATTTGCCTGTGTTGAACCAACCTTGCATCCTGGGGTAAAGCTAACTTGATTGTGGTGGATATGTTTTTTAAGTGCTCCTGGGTATGGTTTGCCAGTATTTTATTGAGGATTTTTGCATGGATGTTCATCAGGGATGTTGACCTGAAGTTTTCTTTTTATACTGAACCTCTGCCAGGTTTTGGTATCAGAATGATGCTGAATGCCATGATTTTTAGCAAAGCAAGGGACGATTGTCAGTACAGGCCAAAACCTGATGGAAGCTCTGTTCCCGTAGACATAAAATTGGGGGCATGATGGTCCATTGATCTGATCCATTAAGGCATTTCCTACCCTCCTTAAAGTTTCAGTTTGAAAGGTATTATTAGTGGTATTAAAACAAAAATGCAAATACCCGTCTTCTTTGTGTGATGAGCCATACATGGTGGGAAGCCTGATCGACAAGATAAATACCCTACACGTTTATATTACTAAGAAATTGTATTTATGTTCAGTGTTTTCCCATAAGATTCCTGTATCCTGTAATATTTAACAGATTTACATGTATTGTATGTTTGTTTGTATTCACTTAATGAATAAAAGTTCAAAGTGAACCAGTGATAATTCAGATAGGAAAATATGTGGCAGTATGCTAAAGTCTAAAAATGAATACAGAACTTCTGTGAGGTAGCTAATGTAGTCAGATTTATAGAAACAGAGATTCAAATGGAAGTTGTTGGGGGCTGCAGACAGGCAAAATAGGCAGTTGCTTGTTGAAGGATTGTAAAGTTTCAGTTACACAGAATGAGTAAGTTCTAGAGATCTGTTGTCCAACGTGGTGCCTGTAGTTAATAATACTGTATCATGTCATTAAAAATGTGCTAAAAGGATAGGTCTTAAGTGTTCTTCCACAATTGAAAAAAAAAAAATCCCATAGGATTCTTTTAAATGATGGGTTTCTTGGTGACAAGGGGCTTTATGAGATCTGTATGCTTTCTTGCTTGATTTTCCAAGTTTAAGATCTTTTAATGACTAATAAGGCACTTTAATTAGACTTTAATCCAGCTTTAAAAATGTAATAATGCAGTATATTAATGTTTGGCCATTTTTTATATCTTAATTTTATCCCAAGAAAGAATAAGACATGTCCTATTTTCAGTAAATAGGGTGTCTTGCAGAAAAGGGAACAAGTCAGAACTTTTCTGTCTTCTTTCCTTAAATGTTCTCTAGATTGGGCAGCATATAAAACTCTCCTTTGAAATTTAGAGTGTGTACCAGCCTATTAAAGTCTCAAAGAAGTCCAGCTGTAAAGGAACTTTTTAAACTTTATTTACTGGCTTTCTTAAATTTCTTTAACTTTGGAAGGCTCTTATTCCCAGGAACTTTAACATCTGACAGGCCCTCCTAACTGAGGAGCACAGTTATGGAATCAGCTTGTCATTGCCAAGGTGGCCCCTTCTTTCTTCACACCGAGGGTAATGAGACCGACGCTGCGTCGTAGACAGAGTACTAAAGCACCATGCTCGGAGATTAATGTTCAGCCAGGCTTCTCTTGTTTTTAGGACGACAAAAAGGGTTTGTGTACCTTCTCTGGAGAAAGTAATTAGGTTTATTCTCCTTCCCCTTGTGTGGGTTCTGACTCATCTACCCAGGTGACCAGCTGGCCTGAACTGTCTTAGGTCTTTTAAGAGAATGTGCAAGGGACTAAGCCACTGTTTGTAGTAACTACTATTTTGCAAGAAAAGTTTATTAGTGTTTTAAAAATAAGCTTTTAAATAAGCTATTAATTCTGAAATACCAGTGCCACTGTAAACCTAAAAACAAATCCAAATGTTCTCTTAACTAAATCAATGTTTATTACATCTCATGAATTTTGACATCCTTTTGTTAAAACAGCAAATAACTACGTGGGAAAGCCACAAAACAATGGACAAACAAAAAAATCATATATTGTTTGGAGAATTTACAAAGGAAGAGTTGAGATTTTTTAAAAGCCCACAGGAAAAAGAATTGTGATCATTTTTAGCAGGCTAATAACATTCTTATCAATACAAGAAATAAAGAATATTTGGTTTGACTATATGATAAAATAAAAATTTCTGCTTGGCATATAATGCAGCCAAATACAAAATCAAACACTGGGTAAACACAGCAAGTAGAACAAGAGTTACATTTTTTTTTAAATAAGTCTCATAATTTAAGAAAACTATCAAACCTGTTAAATGAGAAAAGGATCAGAAGCTTATACATAAGGAAATTTTTGGTCATCAAATGAATTCTTTCCTTCAACTAAGATTTTTTTGCCCACCTGTTCTCATGCTGTGCCTGGTGTTGGCATTTCAACAGGGCAGACACTCTCCATCCTTGTGGGGAGAGGTAGGCAAGGGACACATTAAAAACAGTTGTCAAGACATCTTACTAACTTAGTTTGCATTCCTGTGAGAGAATGAGAAGAGAGAGTAAAATAATGAAGGAAAAACTATTAGGAAGACAGGCAAGTAGCAGTTTTATTTTTGTTTTGTTTTTGTTTTTGTTTTTGTTTTTGTTTTTTTTAATCAGGAATGTGAACTGAATAAAATACCTTGACAACTGTTCTTAAAAATTGTTAATACGGCCGGGCGCGGTGGCTCAAGCCTGTAATCCCAGCACTTTGGGAGGCCGAGGCGGGTGGATCACGAGGTCAAGAGATCGAGACCATCCTGGTCAACATGGTGAAACCCCGTCTCTACTAAAAAAAAAAATACAAAAAATTAGCTGGGCATGGTGGTGCGTGCCTGTAATCCCAGCTACTCAGGAGGCTGAGGCAGGAGAATTGCCTGAACCCAGGAGGCGGAGGTTGCGGTGAGCCGAGATCGCGCCATTGCACTCCAGCCTGGGCATCAAGAGTGAAACTCCGTCTCAAATTAAAAAAAAAAATTGTTAATACTCAGTATTGGCGAAGCATTGCACATTGGTTCAATTTTATTGATAATTCCTACAATGACAAACTTTTTCTTTATTTTAACTTCAGAAATTATCTTAATGAAATAATTCAAAATAAAAAACAGGACAGAAAAACAGTTCATATAATTGAATAGGGCTGGGTAAGTAAATAGGAATTTTTAACCTAATGGAGCATGAGATCATAATTAAAATTATTATATAAATAGTGGTGACATGAAACAGTATCATGTTAGGTGGCTGTAGTTGCATTTGTGTTGCTTAATTCATTTCTGTAAAGTAAGTAGGTCTGTGTACTGTAGTAAGATTATGATATATTAAAATTTGTTTCATGTAATACTAGAAGAAATGTTGATTCATTTTATTAAAAGTGATTTTTTATTTTTTGTCCTTTTTTTTATTTTTATTTTTTTTATTTTTAAGGTAACTACACAGACTCAGCCTTGTCCACTCCGTGTTCCTGCAGCTAGAGACATGACCTAACACACTGATGACCACTCTCAGGGCCCTTGGGTGACTGGTCAGTGCACCATGGAACTTAAAGTGTGGGTGGATGGAGTTCAGAGGATTGTTTGTGGAGTCACTGAAGTCACAACTTGCCAGGAGGTTGTCATAGCCTTAGCTCAAGCGATAGGTAAGTGAACTCTGGGTATCTGAGGAAAGTACATTATGCTTCCTTTCATTCTGTGTATTTGTTTTAAATACAGGTTTCTAATGGATTTTGTTCATTTGATTCCATAATAAGTCTCACAGGCACACTTGTACTTATTACAGTTTGTCTGTGTTTAGGTAAATCTGTGATGATGCTTGTTCTCTGACACCCCCAGATTTTACTAACTCTGAATTAGCATCTGCACCGCCTCTCCTCTCCTGTTGTTCAGCCTATGCAATGACTTCCGAAACTAATGATGTTTTCTTGAGCCAAAATCTAGATTCTTAGTTCCCAGAAACACTCATTAGGAAAAATCTCACCTGTTATTTATTTCTCCATACTTTTGGAAAATACAACAAATGAAGTAACATCATTCTTCACTGGAAGGATAATGTATACTTTCAAAATCTTATTACTGGCTGGGCGTGGTGGCTCACACCCGTAAACCCAGCACTTTAGGAGGACGAGGCAGGTAGATCACTTGAGGTCAGGAGTTTGAGACCAGCCTGGCAATCCCATCTTTAATAAAACTACAAAAATTAGCCAGGCATGGTGGTGTACACCTACAATCGCAGCTACTATGGAGGCTGAGGAGGGAGAATTGCTTGAGTTTGCAGTGAGCCAAGATCATGCCACTGCACTCCAGCTTGGGTGACAGAGCAAAACTCAGTCTAAATAAATAAATAAATAAATAAAATCTTACGATACAGTGAAGATGAAGCACAGCTCTTGGCTTCATGTTATTCTCCTACTGCGTTTTACCTTTTCTTCTTACTGATTTTGAGCTTATCTTCATTATAGTTTATGTATGTTTAGTTACCTTAAATGATGAGGGCGTAAACACCTCAATCAGTAAAACCAGTAATGTGGTTCAAAGTTTATATTTATGTCTTAAATCTTTCATTTAACAAACATGTATTAAGAGGAAGCTGTGTGGCCAGCACCATGCTAGGTGCTCAGGGCCTCTTTGTCTTTGAGCTCCTCATCAAAAGTTGATATTATGTCTTGCCAGTTTATATTGGAAACATGTCAATTAGCTCAGCACTGAAATGAGTCATACTGTTGCCAAGGCACTTTAGCATTTGGTAGAGATGATTTTGCCACCTGTGATGTGGCAGATGCACTGTTAGAGGTTGACAGTGCCCTATGCAAGGCTTTCTTTTAATATTGACATCTTTTGATTTTTCCTTAAACACTATAGCACACTAATATATTGTAGCAATGCTGAAAATTCTGGGCTTTCACATCCAATGAAACTCTTTTTGCATTTGGGAATAATATATACATAGACTTAAGTTTAATTATTGAAAAGGAGAAAGTTAAGGCATTTAATTTTTTCGTATTTTTTTACTAGCTTATTTCGTAATTGCCCCTATTAAGAGTCTCACATAATTTATTTGAATTAAAATATACAGCTTTTTTTTTTTTTTTCTTAGTGAAGAATAGGTTTATTAATTGTCGAACTTAGCTATCCTTGTTTGTCAAAGGCTTTCTGGGAATTAAGCCATAGACAGTGCCTTTAAAAAAAAAAAAAAAAAGTAGTTTTTACAAAAGTCAAAGTAGTTAAGTAGTGCCACAAGCTGCATCTGTCCATAATCACACTTATTACACAGAATTTCAAGGGAAAATGCCCAGAGGTTCCAGGTGTGTGTTTGCCCACTTGGACTACAGAGTATATTTATTTATGAACCAGCCAAAAAGAAAGAAGTTTGCCATAGGTCAGGAGTGTGTTCACAGGCACACACACACACATAAACACACACACACACACACACACACACACACACATACACACACATCTTTCCCTCATGGGGGCACTACACACACACACTGTATTCTTGATGAAGAGTTACTGGGTTTTTCATGGGGGCGCTACACACACACACACACACACTGTATTCTTGATTAGGAGTTACTGGGTATTTCTGGATAGTTAAAATTATTTTTAGGAAACTGTAGAAACTATCAAAATGACTTACTATGAAAACATGCACACAAGTTGTCAACCTGCAAATATATATATGACAGCTAATGTTTTCTTTGTGCTACTAATCAATCAGATTGAATTAGAAAAGAGCTAAAAACAAAATAGTTTGATGAAAGCTGTTGAATGCATCTAATACTGTAGGAAGAAATCATTTCTACACTAATCTTTGACCACTTTTACAGATTAGATTTAGCTGATGGATGTAGGATACTTGCTCAAATTATGACAGAATAACTAAAAGTGAAACCTTAGTTGAAACCTCTTCTTGGCATGAAGTGGTTGAACTACCCTGCAAGAGTACACTGGGAGTTTGTCATTGTACCTCCTGAACTTTCTAAAACATTCCAAATTTAAATGTTCTACTTTGCAAACCCCTGTAAAATAGCTCAGAAATGCATTTTTTTCAGGGTGTAAACTGCTTCTCAAATCGAAGTGAAATAGAAAGCTTTTGACAGATCATCTATCTCAAGTTATAGTGGAGAAAATGCATTTGCTTTTATAATATCTCAAACCAAAAATACGACAAGGATGTATTTCTACCCTCAGGTAGCTTAGAGCTTAATACAGAAATAAAAGTCTAGCTAACAAAAGATGAGAGAGGAAAAAAGAAAAAGAAAGAAATCAAGGAAATTGAGGGAAGGGATTTCTGATTCGCAATACTTTAATACCTGCTGTCATTGAGAAGACAAGGGAAGGAATATACATTTTATATCATCACACTTAACTCTTCATTTCACATGTAAAACATCAATTTTAGAAATTTAAGAATAGATTTTCTATGTTTACGAAGTGGTATTATTTATTGTAGCTTATCTTGAAATTTAGAAAACAGAAGGTAAGATAATCATCATGATTCTACTTCCTAGCAATAAACAATGTTTTTTGTGTACCCATAGATGAGCTTTTAAAAAATTATACTCTTCATATGTTCTTTGTAGTTTTGAGACTCATTGTCTCATATTTCATTTATTGTATTGTGAATTGATTTTCCACATCTTAATTTACAATTTTAATATTATATCAATAGTCTATTTTTTGTTTTAATGAGCTTCTGTATTTTCCACATCTGTAAAATATTATTTTAATGAACATGAATACATGTTAATTCATTGCATGCATCAATCAAGATGGGTTAGATTATGCTGCATCAATGAACAGTTTTCAGAATCTTCTGGTTTGTAGTGATAAGTGTTTTCTATTATTTTGGTTTGTATTTTTTTAAAGTAACCAGCACAATGCCCAGTAAATCATAGGTAGTCTGTTACTGTTTTTATTATGTTTAGTAGGAGTGGTTTTATATAATTCTAAGTAGACAATAATTCTACATGATATCCTTATCAACACACTGGGAAAATATACTGTGGATGATGTAACTATGGGTTGAATGCACAACTGGCTGACAGGTATATTCAGAGGTAATTTTTTATTGTGTCACTGTCATTCTGAGAAATACTATAAGAGTTATTTTAGTAGTTTCACTCAGAACTTAAATAATATAGTAAAAAATAAATGTCATCAGAAAATTAAAATTCTTTACGCTTTTATTTCTTCACTGATAAGATGAGGATGTAATATCTATACTACTTAACTCACAGAACTAAGTAAGATTATATATATAAAAGCATCAAAAGCATTTTACAGCTGTAAGATAATAAAGTATAAGTTCTGTTACAGAGATCAACACTTACTGTTAAGAATTCTAAGTCATTATGGAAAAAGTTGGTTGTATTTACTAGAGTTTGCATAAGAATCCTGGACTGTATAATGTATTTTACAAAATTTTCATGAAAATGTTTACAGCTCAAGAAGCAAAGCGTCTACTATCGGAAAAATTTGGTGCTGTTGGATAGCTTATCCTACATAGATAAAGAATAAGTCAGGTGTTACTGATATCATTTCTCATACTTCCAGAAACTTGAAAATATGTGCCACTTCTTTGTCATGTTCTTTTGAATAATGTCCAGTATGCATCTTTGGAGTGGAGAGAATTTGATACTGAAGAGAACATCAAATGTCAGTTAAAATGAAAACTTAGGAAGAGGATTGGTGATGAAGGTGTTTAGTAGAATCTGTATCTCTAGAGCCTGGCACTGTTTCTGACAAATATATGGTGTTCAATATACATTTGATAACTAAATAATAAGATGTAACTCTTAAATCATGATTTTGATTTATGACTCTAAAGAGAAATTTCCTAAAATTATAAAAAATTGTTGGAGTATTAAAAATGATTGAATTCAGGGCATAAATTTCTGGGTGACTCATGTTTGAGTTTTTGTGTGTATTTTCCAAAATTTTATGTTACTTCATAGTTGTATATTCTGCTTTCTTAAATAAAAGTAAGCTGTTATCCTGTTTTCTTTTAATTTATGTCAGTCATTCAATAAGATTTCATTAATGCATTAAAATCTGTATGTGAGTTTCTTCAGTATATAAATTTAATGATTCTTGGGGTTAGTCTCAATTACTTCAATATTTAAAAGTATAATTATTATTATTTTTTTTTTTGAGATGGAGTTTTGTTGTTTGTTGCCCAGGTGGGAGTACACTGGCGGGATCTCTGCTCAGTGCAGCTCTGCCTCCTGGGTTCAAGTGATTCTCCCATCTCAGCCTCCCGAGTAGCTGGGATTACAAGCACCTGCCACCATACCTGGCTAATTTTTGTATTTTTAGTAGAGATGGGGTTTCACCATGTTGGCCAGGCTGGTCTCGAACTCCTGGTGATCTGCCCATCTTGGCCTCCCAAAGTGCTAGGAATACAAACCTGAGCCACCACAGCTGGCCATAATTAATATTTTTTTACCTTGCTAAATTGGATCAAAATTATTTGACGATGTCATACAGTTCTACAATGCCAAATTCCATAGAAGATAGATAGATAGATAGATAGATAGATAGATAGATAGATAGATAGATATTCCTTTGTATTCATTTTAAGATTATATCAAAATAGTACACAAAGTATGACTAAACATATCCATGTAGTCAAATACACTAAAAGGAGTTTTGCAGGAGGAATCAGAATCTGTGTTAATGAAAGAAATAGGATCTGTAGAGTGCTGCGAAGCTATGGGTATTAGAAACAGTGATTATGGATTTTAATTCCTATATAAAATATTTAAAACCCAATTTGTATAATAAAATCAAATCTATTAATTCATCTACTTTTTTTTTTTTTTTTTTTGAGACGGAGTTTCGCTCTTGTTACCCAGGCTGGAGTGCAATGGCGCGATCTCGGCTCACCGCAACCGCCGCCTCCTGGGTTCAAGCAATTCTCCTGCCTCAGCCTCCTGAGTAGCTGGGATTACAGGCGTGCGCCACCACGCCCAGCTAATTTTTTGTATTTTTAGTAGAGACGGGGTTTCACCATGTTGACCATGATGGTCTCGATCCCTTGACCTCATGATCCACCTGCCTCGGCCTCCCAAAGTGCTGGGATTACAGGCGTGAGCCACCGCGCCCGGCTCATCTACCTTTTTTAAAAAGCTTTTTTTATATTGCTAAATGGATTTTTTTTGGCCTAATAGTACTAAATGTGCATTATTTAACAAGAAGCAAATACTGGCAGTAAAAGTAATTCTAAATAATTTTCTACCAAGACATTCTTAGAGGGCAGCAGTACCATTAAGCACTGGAAAATCAGATTTATTTTTAATTATGAATAAATTTGAGTCTTCAAAATTTTTTGTTTAGTTCGTATAATGTGATGATTCAGTTTTTCTTTTAAAGATACTCATTGGCTTGATAGAATTGGAAAGGACTCTGCCAGTTTAGCTAACCCCTCCTATTATTGAAGGAAGACACAGAGGTTCAGAGAAGAGTAAGATTTCAAGATTTCTGAAAGTAGTTGATAGGCAGCAGAGCCAAAAGCACAAAAAGCTGTGACCTTTGAAGCAGTTTGTATGCATGGAACAGTTTTAACGTTGCAGATGTGTGATACGGTTTTTCCTTGGGGGCAGTTAGAGTAATTTTTAACCCAAAATCACTGGAAACATTTCTTATTTCAAGAAGCTAACCTAATGTGCTAAGGTTTTTTTGTTTTCTATTTTCATCCTCCTTATTAGCCTGGACATTTTGATAAACATAACTGATATTACATAGTACTTTTCAATTTCACCAACATTTTATGTTTTACATTCTCCCGTGACTCTCAGAACAACCTTGTCAGATAAGGAAATGCTACTCTTAACAGATGAGGAAACTGAGGCTAATTTGTTCAGATCATGTAAACACAGTGGGTAGCAGAGCCACATTTGGACCCAGACCATTCCACTCCAGAACCTTTGTCCTGTCTGCTCTGTCCAGCTTTACACAGTTGGAAGTTGCTACTCTCAAGGTGCACACTACTAAGCCTGGCTAGTTTTTTCATATTTTATTTGTAGAGACAGGGTTTCGCCATGTGTCTCCCTGGCTGGTCTTGAACTCCTGGGCTCAAGAAATCTGCCCACCTTGCCTCCCAAAATGCTGGGATTACAGGCATGAGCATTGCACCCAGCCCACTGGTTTGTTTTTAATAATATTTTGCTTTGAGTTTTTTTAAGAAGAATCTTTGATACTATCATATTATTATCAAAACTGAACAAGTCTTCTCTTCCCGCCCCTCTTTTCATATGAATGTGTTTTGAAGGTTTTTTTCATTGAGCTGATTTTTTATTTGCCGTGTGTGTCCAGGAAGATGGCAGCTGTGTGAGCAGTAGGTTGGCAGAGCACTCAGGTGGAGACGGAGAGGAGACCTAGGCAGTTCCACTTAGTTCCTGGGCCAGCTCCTCATACTTCACATGGCAATTCTGTTGTCCTTTGTTTCAGCTGGAGAACAAACTTTGTTCAGTCTTGCCCCAAATGAGAAGTTCTAGGCAGTTAGGTATTTGGCAAGGTTTAAAATATAAAGTTGAATTTCTAAGCAAGTTTGAAGAGTATGTGCAATACACATCTTCTGATTTTGTGTTGTTACATGTCTTCAGGGGCTTGGTATCTTCAAGTGATGAAGGTTTTAAAGGCAACCTGGACTAGACTATAAAACTTGACCCTCTGATACTAATAAAAAATGCACAGTCATCAAATGGTGTTCTTACTCCATTTTTTCACTGTTCCAATATCCCATTTTGAGAATTTATTCTTACCTTTTTTACCTAGGTCGAACTGGAAGGTACACCCTTATAGAGAAATGGAGAGATACTGAAAGACACCTAGCACCTCATGAAAATCCTATCATATCCTTAAACAAATGGGGGCAATATGCTAGTGATGTTCAGCTCATTCTACGACGAACCGGGCCATCTCTCAGTGAGCGACCCACTTCAGACAGTGTGGCTCGAATTCCTGAAAGAACTTTATATAGACAGAGTCTGCCCCCGTTAGCTAAACTGAGGCCTCAGATTGACAAATCAATCAAAAGGAGAGAACCCAAAAGGAAATCGTTAACATTTACAGGAGGTGCCAAAGGATTAATGGACATTTTTGGAAAAGGTAAAGAAACTGAGTTTAAGCAAAAGGTGCTGAATAACTGCAAAACAACAGCAGATGAGTTGAAGAAGCTGATCCGTCTGCAGACAGAGAAGCTTCAATCCATTGAGAAACAGCTGGAATCTAATGAAATAGAAATACGATTTTGGGAGCAAAAGTATAATTCCAACCTTGAAGAGGAAATTGTCCGTCTAGAGCAAAAGATCAAAAGAAATGATGTAGAAATCGAGGAGGAAGAATTTTGGGAAAATGAATTACAGATTGAACAGGAAAATGAAAAACAGCTTAAGGATCAACTTCAAGAAATAAGACAGAAAATAACAGAATGTGAAAACAAATTAAAGGACTATTTGGCACAGATCCAGACTATGGAAAGTGGTCTGGAAGCAGAAAAATTACAACGGGAAGTTCAGGAGGCACAGGTCAATGAGGAAGAGGTTAAAGGAAAGATTGGTAAGGTCAAAGGGGAAATTGACATTCAAGGCCAGCAGAGTCTGAGGTTAGAGAATGGCATTAAAGCTGTGGAAAGATCTCTTGGACAAGCCACCAAACGCTTACAGGTAAGGACACTTTGATAAACAGGACACTTGGCCCATTTAAAAGAATTAATATCTTCTTGGAATATTCTTTTCATAATTGTCAGTTTTTCCTTATATTCAAAGAATTAGAAACCCAGCCTTGTTTAAAAGTTTTGTCGAATTCTTGTGACTTGTATCTGAGTGAGCTTAGATGTGAGATCAGAATAAAGATGAGAGCGATAGCCACACGGATCCTTCTCCATGGACGAGCCTTTTCTTAACTGTGGCTGTTGTAGCATTAGATAATGGGATGTAATGGACACTAATGATGAGATAGTAAATCTCACCTTCTCCTTTCAGAGATAGGGAAATCAGTGCCAAAAGAGCTGTCAACTGATTGGTTGGCCAGGATTGTTGTGGCTAGCTGACTGCTTATCACTTCTCCGTGTTGCCAGCCAATCTCAGCTTCTTTCCTGACACGTAAACTGCCCCCAGCCCTTCTCCCCTCTCCACAGTACCCTCCTTTGCTTTCCTGAGAAGGGGACAGAGATTTCTCTCTGATTTTCCTCCTTTTTCTAATTCACATCCAAGAAAATTTCTATTTTGCCACGTAACTACTCAAGTTACATTTCTTCGATACCCGTTTTTGAAAAGACCCTGTGATTGTGTTGCAGAAATTGCAAAGATGTATCAGTCTCTATCAGATGAAATGAGGAAGACATATAATTGATTATAATATGGCCGTTTATATTTAAATTATGATTAATAAAGTAATTAAAAATATTAAGTAATTTAAAATTCTGTTTTTTCAGTCACACATGGTCACATTTCAAGTGCCCCGTAGCACATCTGGCTGCTCTGCTGGCCATGTAGACACAGAAGATTTCCACCATTGGAGGAAGTTCTGTTGGACTGTGCTGGTTTAAAGCTTACTATTCAAAGTGTAGTCCATGCCAGGCAGCTTCAGTGTACACTTGTAAGAAATTCAGAACCTACATTGAAACAGGATGCCGAAGTAGTACCTGTGTACAGTGAGGTTTGAGAAGAGCTGCTTTAGAACATCAACAATTCCACAATCAGAGAAAGCTGAGGTCTTAGGAAGAACTGATGTGATCTCCCTTCTCTGTCACTATCTGCAGTAAGAGTTAAAACTACCACCAAAATTTTGAAGATCAAGAATTTCTCATGCCGTAGAAGGTTGTCAGCCTCTGATTTGTCAGTATTTTACTGTTGGGATTCATTCTGACCTTTAACAAAGGTACAAGTGGAAGTTGTGTTGCTTTTGATATCACTTGCAGGAAACACCAACTTACCACAGTCATTACTAGTAAATCCCTCTACCCACTGAAAAAATGTCTGATAATCAAATATTGGTATATCCTCAAGTACCCCCTACACCCAAATCAGTGAAGAAAACAACTGTTCACTTCTAATCTCTTCCCAACCCCTACCAAATCCTTGAGATCCACCCAGCCTGGGTAGAGCCAGGGTACTTTTATATACAGTAAAGAAAAATGAAAACTGTTTAAATAATAGGATGCCCTTCCTTGATTTTACAGCTTTTCAACTGTCCAAACTTGATCTCCTCCTTTAGGGCTCTGTAGTTCTAAGATCTTTGTCAAGGATTAAAAATCCCATAGTAAGAATCTTGTGGGAATCTTGCTTTCTTCATGCTATAAGATAAATCTCAATAATGTATCCAAGAAAATTGAAACAGCTTACAAAAAACCAGAATTCTAAATCCATGGACCAAATTACAATTAACTTTGTAGTCATATGTTAATATGTAAATTTATGATCAGTTTAGCAAGATTGCTGTAACACAGAGATGGGTAAAAACGTGTGGGTTTTTTTTCTTTTTATGTTCCAACAATGAGTTTATAGGCTGAGAAACCGGTTTTGGTTTTTGTTTTTAATGAAAGTTTATAGAAATATATTTATTTCATAAGGGTACATAATAGTTTCCCAGAGGAAAGCATCACATTTAAGAGGACAGACTAAAGAAACTATTGTTTTCCCTGAGCTTATTTCTTGGCCTATACCACAGAGTGAAAGTGACCTCTTTAGCCCATTGTATCAATATAAACCAGATCTGTTAAATGTGCTTTTATGAAAGCAGATATCCCACATTTAACCCCTGTAGCAGATAGATTGTCACTGTCTTGCACTGTTCAATAGTGAATCCTCAAATTTAAAATAATAATTTCCATCTAGGACAAAGAACAAGAACTGGAGCAGTTGACTAAGGAGCTGCGGCAAGTCAATCTCCAGCAGTTCATCCAGCAGACCGGGACAAAAGTTACCGTTCTGCCAGCGGAGCCCATTGAAATAGAGGCCTCACATGCAGACATTGAAAGGGGTGAGGTGTTGCTAAATATGGTTTATTTTCCCTTTATTCTCACTGCTTAATTTTTTTGTTTTTGTTTCTGTTCTTTGAGACAGTGTCTTACTCTGTTACCAAGGCTGGAATGCCACTGGTATAACCACAGCTTACTGCAGCCTCAGCCTCCTGGGCTCAGGTGATCCTCCTACCTCAGCCTTCTGGGAAGCCAGGGCTGCAGGTGCATGCCACCACACTTGGCTGATTTTCTTTTCTTGTATTTTTTGTAGTGATGGGGTTTCACCATGTTGCCCAGACTGGTCTCAAACTCTTGAGCTCAAGCAATCTGCCTCCCTCAGCTTCCCAAAGTCCTGGAATCACAGGCATGAACCAGCATCCCTAGCCATCTGCTTACCTTTGAATAAACTGCTTGTATTCAGTTAAAATATTACCCCAGCATTTATAGATAATTTTTAAGTGGGACACTTAAAAAGTCTTTTTTTTTTTTTAACATATTTCCCATTTCCGGAGGAAAACCAGTAAATTTAGGTTGTTTATTTACTTAGGTGAGTATGTAATCAGCAAATGTCATATCATTAGTTTTAAATTGCTTTATTAAAAAATGTTTTTCTGAAGTATGTATGAGTCATAGTCTGTTAATTTGGATTTTTGCTTCCCTCTCTATGTTCGTTAATGCCCCTTCTTTCCTTCCATTTCTTCTAAAAGTTATTATTAATTTGTGCTGATATTTAAAAGATAATTCCAAATCTGCATATGCATATGGTGTGAACAACCAAGAAAAGCAAAGATATTCACCTTTTATAAAGATCATTCACTGTTCGAATCACCAAAAACTAATTTATCAAATAGACTTCAACCTGAGAGGGTTTGAGCCTTTCCTCCCAGCCCAGGGCACACAGGGGATTGCAGTTATTGCTCTGTGTGGTTTTCTCTTTCGGGTTCTTCGGGGCAGGAAGGAGTCTAATTTTTTATATTGCTAAGTACTCCAAGTTGACCAGTTCATCAAGTGGCTTTCTTTGTTTCCTATTTAGAGGCAACATTCCAGTCTGGGTCCCTGAAGCGACCTGGTTCATCTCGGCAGCTCCCCAGTAATCTCCGCATTCTGCAGAATCCTATCTCATCTGGTTTTAATCCTGAAGGCATATATGTATGACATTACCTACCTGTCTTTAGGGGGGAGACCCAACAGAGGTACCAAGGACAGTAAACTTCCTTTTTGATTTGTGCCAATGATGAACAGAGGATCTATCCCACAAGCCGCTGTATGTTTTTTCTCTTCTAAATTGCATACCATTTGGAGCCATACCCTGTGCACTGATGCTAAAGAACAAAGAAACTGTGTTTTCACACATCAACAGTGTTGATATTTTTGTCCAGCAGCTGTAATGCAAAGCCTTCCTTTTTTGTAGCATTTTGAGAGCTTTAGGAAAGTGTTATATAGTGTGTACGTAAATAAACCATGACTTAAGTAAGAATGAAGAAAAATTTGTGACTGGCTTAGTTTAATTTATTTCATGGAATCAGTTGATGTATGAATGTTGATGTTTTAATATTTTTTATTAAGACTTATCCTGTGACAGACTTATGTTACATATTATGTGATTATGACTATGTGCATGTTGCCAGACTCCATCCATGCATTGCTGATTTACACTACACAAGTATCCTAGGGTGCTCCACCATCGAAACTAACTCCAGAAGAACCCACTTGCATTCATTTTGTGTCCTAGCCATTGCTTAATTAGGTGAAATAATTCAGGGGTTTTTAAAATCTGGAATTTAGTCTTTCCATTACAGTATTTCCAAATATATGTGTGGCCACGTAGCATAACAGAAATTTTTCATGAGGTAAATTGTATGTATAAAACATTTGCAGTGTTTCAGACACTGTTGAACAAAAATGTAATTATTAAGTGTGTATCCATACAGGCATGGGGTTTCCTGATACATTATGTCTTCTGTTTCTGCCCTGCCTTATTATTTACATTCTGGATCTTCAGAACTGATTTAACATGTAAGTTATAGATATCTGAGGGCTGGATTGATCCACTTCAGGAACATTGCTTTTTAAGTGATGTATTTTAAAATAACCCGCTTCATATGTATGATCTATTGGTGTACACACCATGGGTAAATTATTCCTCATACATAATTTACTCTGTATATTATGGACCCTTGTGGTTTCTTCCAGTCACTTAGGTGGAAAGGAGATTAAACTTAGGTACGTATTAGCAAGGAAATAAAGTCAAATTCAGCATATGTTTTTATTTTTAGGCTTGACTTTTACCAGACACTAATCTCCATTTGTACATATGTTGTTTTATTTGTAAAACCAAAAATGAATCAACACATTTTTCATGAGTAGTGACTTAAGATTTACAAGTAATATTTAGACAGATTGATTCAGATACCACTTAGCCATTCTTACATTCCCTCTGGTCAGATTTGGTACAGTATTATTAAGACTTTAATCTGAAATTTAAAGTAGTTTTAATTCTGAAGAAATTACATCCTCTGTATTATTTACATGCAACAAAATAAAAGTGGATTGATATGGTAATGCTTGGTAACAATAGAGATATGTCTTATGCATGAAAGCAACTTTGGATGTTTTAACACATTTGACTTATTTTTGGTTTAGTGAATGCTGAGAATGCTGCTCTACTTAGGTTTCTTATGAAAAATTTTAAGAATGACTATGAGACTGTATAGAAGCTTCTAGAGAACTGAAAGTAATAATGCAGAGTTGCCTTTCTAGTGCAGCTTAGTGGCGGACCTCAACTGAAGATACAATTTTCTTTGGGTTCTTGGAGTTATCAATTGATCTTGCCATTATATTACTTTGCAAATAACTTAAGAAGTAAATGATTCTTACCCAAATAACCACAACCTGTACACATTTGCTCACAATTTATGATAGTTAATTTCTATCTACCTGTATTTAAAATTAGGATGATTAAAAATTAAAATAATTTATAGCTTTTGTGACAGTAATGATTTACATATGCTCAATAAATGCCTTATTTTTTCAAAAGTCATTCTATATGAAGTAATTTTGTTGTTCAGAGAAATCGAGATCTTATTCACAAAGAAAAACATTTTATAAATTGATCACATTTTATTTAAATCAAAATGTTAAACTGGAGGCAGTATTAAACTTTGTAATTAGAAATTGCAGAGATGCCTTGGCATACCATGAAAAACACAGTCAATATCTGACTAATTATAAATTGTTACCAGAATTAACCTAGCAACTTTACAGAAGGACAAGCAGCATTCTAGCAACTTGTAGTAGTCCTGAGTTCCCAGCTTAGCCTCTCTGACAACTTCTTTAGAATCTCCAAGCTGCCAAATAATCTTCATAGACCTAATTACAAGTTAAAAATAATTTCCTAGATGAGGAAAGTATAGAAATGTGAATATGATGAGTACATTAAGAAGCTATACTTTTTAATTAGTTATATTACTTCTGGAAGCACATATCTAAGGAACATTTTCTAAGTCAGAGGGAAAAAACTCGTTTTCATAGAAACATCTGAAGATATTTTAGTATATTTGTGATCATTTTTATCTATTGCAGATACAAATGAGTTAATAAGTGCCATATCTTGGATACATTTTGGAGGGGTAGTGGGCAATGGTATACAAAAATACCAAATATAAAATTTTCCTCTGGGGGAATATTCAGGTTCTAAATACTAAATTAGATTACAATATTTTGTGTTTTTTAAAAAAAAAAAATCATAGTGCAATGTGTTTTATTGTGATTTTCTACAATTATTAGATACATTTAAAGATCTTTTTATCTTACCAAGAAATAATTTAGAATAGCATTGGTCTATTTGACTTTTTGAGTGTCTGTCATCTTCAGAGAATGGCCCATAGTGTGTCGCCTATGGACATAGTATCCATAGTCCTTTTGTTGCCCTTCTGAGATATTTGGGTTTGATAACATTTGGGTTTTTGTCTTAATGCACAGGGGCTTTTTATAATATGAGACTTCAATCGGTATTAATAGGAGTTACCCACTTAATTATCCCAGTCATCGATGAGCAATCATCAATTCCTGTAGTTCAAATTAGTCATAATTAAGAGCTACAGCAAGACTGACAGAGTAAAAACTATATAAATACAGTAAAAAAAAAAAAAAAGAAAAAAAGAAAAAACAATTTCTGGTGTGAAATATGAAGTATAGCAGTATGTAACAAGAACATGTAAGCACTTGCTTCCACAGCATAAATGTAATTTACACCTGCATTAAAGGATAATTTTCTCTGTGAATAAGAGCAAAATGGTTTTTAGAGAAACAAACTGTTCATTTGAAGCCAGTTATGTGAACATCTTCCAAGATAGAACTGTAATGGATTGAGGAAATAACACAGAAAAGACAAAAACTTTTGATTTCAGGCATGTAAAGTGTGTGGGCAGATGGACAGTTCCCGTTGTGCATTGCCTTTTATAAATTGAGCCTTAATTTATATGTAAATAACCATGCTGTGTTCACATCCCTCTTCTACCTAAAGTTGTCTTTATTGGTTTATATTGTATTAAAATTAGCTCGTAAGTATTACTTTTATATTATGTTCATTTTTTTAAGTTGCATGTTTATACTATTTGCTACAGTATTTTTAAGTTTGGGGTGAAGGCCATCAGCTGTATCAAAAAGACAAAACAATCACTATTTATTCAGTATTGCTGCTTTACATCTCCAGAATAAGCTTTCGATGCCAGGGCAGTGACTGCCTGAAAGCTGCAGGAGCTCTTTTCAATGCATTTTATATATTTTTAGAAACCAAATAAATGTAGAAAACTATTTAGTATACTAATTATATTAAACCAGCAGAAACATAAAGGCAATAAAGTATATACATATATATGGGGGGAGGGGGAAGATTAAAAATAGATTTACAGCCAGACATGGTGATAGCCCTAAATGTACTTGTCAATATGTTTTTCTTTATTGACCCTAGGAGGATTTGAGTTGCTGCAGCTTTAAACAGAAAATTGCCATGTTCACTAATTGTGAGCACATAAATATGCTTTTAGTACTGCTTTGCTTATGTACAAATACATCTGTAATATGTATTATATGTAATTATTCTTTCCTTTGACTTTCATTTTAAATGTGTATTTTCTGATTATTATGAGCTGTAAAACAAAGAAATCAATATTGGATATTCTCCCAAATAATAAATTTTCAGGATTCATTGGGGCATTACAGTTGTCAGTTTGTTTTTTACGTCCTTTAGATTTTTAAATACAATTGTATTTCCTTTAAAAGATGTCAAAGAGAACAGGGGCACATATCACTACACAAAATTACATTTTTCATGTATACTTAAAGAATCATCTATTGCTTAAAAGGTAGCTTCATCAAAGTAAAACAGAATTAAGAAACTAATTATGCCTTTTACTTCAAAAGTAAAGAAAAAATATCTTAATCTCTGTATTCCCAGATCTCCCTAAATCCGTGAGAGGAAGAGAACTAACCTTTTAGTCCCTACTGTGTGCCAAGTGCAATATGGGGTACTTGTCACACTTTAAACATTCATAGCCATCCAAGGGACTGCTCCCAAATCACGCAACTCCTAAGTAGCTGACACAGCAGTTGCACTTAGATCCTTCAGACCTCAGGGCACTTTTCTGTATTCCATGATACTGTATTCCATGGTAGAGATGCATGAGCTTTACAGTGCCAGTTTCTGCATTTTAACCACTTTTTAATGTGGAAGTATTTAAACTGACATATTTATAGGAATATTTTTATAAGAAGTTAAACCTTTACTTAGAAATTATACATGGAGACCGGGCATTGTGGCTCACGCCTGTAATCCCAGCACTTTGGGAGGCCCAGGCAGGCAGATCATCTGAGGTCAGGAGTTCAAGACCAGCCTGGCTAACATGGTGAAACCCAGTCTCTACTAAAAGTACAAAAATTAGCTGGGCGTGGTGGTGCACCTGTTATCCTAGCTACTCAGAAGGCTGAGGTAAGAGAATCACTTGAACCCGGAGGCAGAGGTGGCAGTGAGCTGAGATCGTGCCACTGCACTCCAGCCTGGGCAACGAGAAAGACTCTGTCTCAAAAAAAGAAAAAAAAAAATATGCATGGGAATAGTATTACGTTATAAAAGCAAAGATAAAATATTAAAGTCATTCAGAATACCAATTATATGTCCTAGTTTGGGGGACTTTTAAAATTTTAATTATTCATCCTGTCCTTTAAAATCTTGTTTTGTTAATAGCAGTGCAAGAAATAGGAACTACTGTTAAGTCTTCACTCACCGCCCACTCCTCGTATGTGTGCTATGTCCATTTGGAAAGACCAGTGGCGTCCTATAAGATGGGCATAAATATGCGGATGCGTTTATGCTTTCCACAGACATTTAGTGAGCTCCTATTTTTGTCTGGACACTGGGCTGAGATGTGTATATTTCTTTTCTTTCTACCTCATGGTGGTTTACTGTCCTTTTTTTTTTTTTTTTTTTTTTTTTTTTGAGACAGAGTCTCACACTGTCACCCGGGCTAGAGTGCAATGGCAAGATCTCAGCTCACTGCAACCTCCACCTTCTGGGTTCAATGGATTCTTCTGCCTCAGCCTCCCAAGTACCTGGAATTAAGGCACCCACCACCATGCCCAGCTAATTTTTTATTTTTTTAATAGAGATGGGGTTTCACTATGTTGGCCAGGCTAGTCTTGAACTCTTGACCTTGTGATCTGACCACCTTGGCCTCCCACGTGCTGGGATTATAGTCGTGAGCCAGCACACCCAGCCAGTTTACAGTCTTTATAGAAATGACAACTTCAGTACAACATGTTAAGAACCACTAAAGAGACAAGGATTGAGTGTCATGGAGACAAGCACATTAGGAGATGTTTACCCTAGCCCAACGTGTTGGAAGATCTGGAGAAGGTAATATAAAACAGAAGGGCTGTCTGGTGGAGCTGTAGCCAGACACTGAAGAGGGAGGGACAAGAGAGACGGTAGGTAGGCATCTGATCGTGAGGGGCCTTGATTGCCATGGTAAAGAATTTGGACTCTATCCTGAGAGCCATAGGTAAGTTTTAAGCATGGAAATTAAATGGTTAGCATGTTAGGAAGATAATTCTGACTGGATATGTGAAGAACTGACTGGAGAAGGGTCAAGATTAGAGGCCAGAAAGACTACTTAAAAGGCCTGTAGGAGTCCAGGCCAGAGATGATGGTACCTGAACTAAGAAAGCAGTTTATCATGTAACACATTTTTATTGAGTACCTTCTTTGAGCCAGGAAGAAGGAGAACTAAGCAGATTATAGACATCCTAAGTAGAAAATAAGAAAGATACCAGGTGTTTCCCACTTATCCACAGCCTTAAAGGGTGGTGGAAATGATGCTGTGGGTCTCTCAATGGGTAGTCATAGATAATCTGCTCTTTGTGCCGGTGAGCAAGGGGTTGGCACAGGAGCAAGAAAAAAGAATAAAAACATGGAGAATAGAATATGTATTCAAGAGGTGGGCCTTCAAATGGGCTGCTTTCTCCTTGTAGAGTGTTTTTGCAGTGTTCCCTGTGAGAAGGACATGGATTTGGGAGAAGTGCTCTTCTTTGCACCAGTTTAGCCATCTGAGTCTGGTCATTTAGTATGTTGGAATCCTGTTTTCCCAGCATTATACTTGACTGTGCGTTCTATATCCACTGCTCTCTTTTATCTGCCATGTGTTTGTATTCAAGCTGATAGAGGGCCTGCCTGACATGGTCCAGAATGAAGGAAGTGAAGAAGGTGGACAATACAAATTCCGTGTATGCAAAGCCAATATTTACAAGTCTCCTGCAACTGCTGGAAGTGTGAAGATCAAATAAACGAATTGGAATACTTAGTAAAAAAAATATTTTTAGGCATAAAGCAAATGATAGACACTTTAAGCAAATAACAATTAGCAATAGTCGCCACACAAAGGGAGGCTGGGGAGAGCAGGGAGGCAGCATGCACACCTGTTCACTCAGCCAAGGGAGGGGCTCTCCAGACAAGCCACTGTGACAGTCATTGGGCACAGCCACAAACTGCTCCTACGTCACCCCACCAACGCCAGCCTGCTACATCTGAAACCTTCGGGGCCACACCATCCCAGCCCACCTCGACAAGCTAAAAAGGCCTCCTTTTGCTTGAGCCAAAGTAGATTTCCTTGTAATTTCTTTCTTTAGGGCCACATAGAAGAAACAATTTCCCATCAATACAACAGCACTTCAGGTACTTGGGAACATCTGCAAGGCTACATATTCCCAAAACTTTCAAATCGTACAGTCTTCGCTCTCCTCTCTCCTGAACATGCTCTACACCAATCCTGAATGTGGCAGCCAGGACTGATCGCAACACCCTCTTCAAAGTAGGAACCTGGCTCATTGTTAGGAGTCAGGCTAAAGCCAAACTGGTTTGGTTGGCTGTTTTTTAGGAACTTCATCTTACTGGATCATTGAACTGACAGTTCATTAAAATCCACTTTTTCACATCTTCTACTGCGCAATCTTCCATAGCTATTATGTTTGTAATTGAGTTTCAGAATGCATATGCAGGGTCAAACTTTATTAAAATACTTATCTCTAAAACCTCTGAAATAATAAAGAAGGAAGATGTGGGCTTCAATGCCAGGTCAAAATCGAGGATAATTTTGTTGATGGCAGAGTTCTACAGAAGCATACAGGAAGTGATAACTGGGTAAATCTGGGAAGACTCTGATGAGGAGGTGAATTGGGCTTTTGGAGAGTAAACAGGTTTTCACTGAGTCATATTTATTGAATGCCTACTATGTAGTAGACACTGGAGATAAAGCAGTGAACGGCAAAAACCAAATCCCTGCCCACGCGGAGTTAATGTCCTAAAGAGGAAGACAGATGATGAACAAAGAAGCAAAAATTAGTATCTTCAATTGTGATAAGAATTAAGGAGAAAAAAGCAGCAAAGAGGGACAGAAAGTGCTTGTGACTTCATACAGGTAGCTTGAGAAGGCCTCTCTTAAAAGATGGCCTTGGAGTAAAGGCGAAGCAAGTGTGGGCAGGCCATGCAGAAATGAAGAGGATTAATCCAGGCCACATAACCCACATCAGGCTTCAGTGAGAGAGGTTTGAGAAGCCTGGGAGGCCTCTGGAGTCCAGCTTTCTGTTTCTAAGCAACTGATTTGGAATACATAGGCCTTTTTCTGGCTGCAAGCCAGTAACCCCTTCCAAGTACTCACTTGATCAGTCTTCTCAGGTCTAACATAGTACAGGAAGAAGATATTTTAAATATATTAAACAAATGTTTAAAATCTGTATTGAATTACCCTTGATTCTTACCAAATTAAAATTAAATTCATAGGTAAGATGTCCTTCTGTGAATAGACACAAATATACACAAACTTGTTTAGCCTATCTCCCAAAATAGTAGTAACAAATAACCATCGGGTCTAAAGGTGTTTTCTTTTGCTACACATCCTCCTCCAGATTTAATAACATCTTTAAATCTACAGATACGTATTTTTAAAATTCAGGACATTAAACAAAAGCAAGCCATTGTCAGGTACTCTTTTGCAAAGTTAAATGAATATTTCTAGAAGGCTAAAAAAAAAGGGGGGGGGGTTCTAACCAAAAAGGACAGAGATGCAAACTGAAGATAGTAATTGAGATCATGATTATATATAGAAAAACAAATTCACCAACCTCAACTCTTTTTTGTAGTTGTCTGTTTCCTCTGTTTTATCTAGGAATATCATTCCTGAGAATATCCTTCTTTCTCATAAGCAAGAGTGTAAAGATTAGATATCACACCAAAAGTTCAGGTAACAGAAGCAAAAATGAGCAGATTAGACTACATCAAACCCAAAAGTTTCTGCACAAAAAGGGAAACAATCATTAAAATGAAAAGGCAGACTGTACATTTGGAGAAAATATTTGCAAACCATTATCTGGTAAGGGTTTAATATCCAAAATATATAAGGAACTCACAGAAGTTAACAGAAAACAAATAATCCAATTAAAAATGGGCAAAGGGGCCAGGTGAGGTGGCTCACGCCTGTCATCCCAGCACTTTGGGAGGCCGAGGCGGGTGGATCACAAGGTCAGGAGATAGAGACCATCCTGGCTAACACGGTGAAACCTCATCTATACTGAAAATGTAAAAATTCAGCCAGGCAAGGTGGCACGCACCTGTAATCCCAGCTACTTGGGAGGCTGAGGCAGGAGAATCACTTGGACCTGGGAGGCAG